GTGTATCCTGATATCCATCCCTTGCGCTACCAAGAGCTTCTTCATAATTCCTTACTAACTTTGAAGTAGCAGTTCAGCGCTTTGAGGGAGGCTTGACTTACGGAGCGAATATTTATAATCCTATGCCTCAGTTACCACTCTGCGATTATGGTAAGTACAGTTTCACTGCCTGGGAAATCGTTTCGCAGGTTCTTAGGCTGACTGATTGTGCAATCTTTAGCTTCGACACGAATACGTCAGCTCGTACATCTATTCGAACCTTGGAGCTGTCGGTCTACGTACAGATATTCATAAAGTCAGGTTGATGTTCCCACTCATTGCTTTGAGAAATCAACACTGACTAGGCAAGACATGCTAGTCCGGTTATCTTTGGCATTATATCAGAAGGCACTTCCAGACTGCGGTGGTTGTCTACCTTTATAACATTTACTACATGACGTAGCCTATAAGCAGTCCTTCTTGCATCGCCTTCTAGGTATACATACAAAGTTGGTGAGCATGCAAACCTGCAAACCTCTCTGTACTGCACTTAGATTAGCTTTGACCCAGCAAGCAACAGATCCATGGGCTATCATAGGCATGTCATAAAGCCATATCATTTGCTTGAGCTTCATTGTCCAGTTCTTTCCACACACCCGTCGCCATGTCTATCGCAAGATTCTTGCCCCTTAAGGACTGCTTGCGAATTCCAATTTAGCGTTTTGTCCAAGATATTTCACCGCGAACGACATGTCTTCCCTGGGATTATTTGAGGCTTAATCACAAGCAATTTTCTATTGCTGGTGAAAGACAGTACTTACCTTACGGAACTCCTACCGGAAATTACTTTTCCGTTTTTCATAATAACGGCGTTATGACCGATTACAAACTTTAAACTGACCCTGTACATGGGATCCCGAACTACTACCTCATTCACCAAGAATATGGTTATGCAACTAAATCATCGCCAGGGTTTTTACGCAACGAAGTGTCAAAAATAGCCGACAAAATGTCAACTTGCTGACTAGATAGTTCCTAGGATTCCTAATGTGCAAATAGTTCATTCCGCGTTTGCTTGCTATGAGCGCTATGAGTGCCAGCAATAATAATAATAATATTTATTCGGCAAAATACAAAAAATGGGCTAATAAATATAAAAAACTACAGAAGGCAACGCCCTGTGTGTGTTATATCTTAATAAATAACAATCAATCATTATGTGTATAACAATTGCTGTTAATTCTAAAAAGTATTAATATACTGGTAATTGGAATTTTTTAGTATTAGTTTTCTACATAACTATGTATAGTCATTCGCTGCACAGTACAAATCCAGTTTTTTGATTTTCGTCTAATCTTTTTTCCAAAACTAAGTGTTTTTATTTCGTTTGGAATATTATATAATGTAGCTAAATTGATTTTTTGAATAATGCTTTGTGTGGTATTTGGATGTTAGGTGAGCCTTTATGGGAATTTTTTTCATTATAATGCTTATGGTTTAAGGTGGTAGCATGTAAGAAATGAAGTTGTCTAGTATCAAGTATCCCTGTTTCCTGATATAAGTTGTTCGTCCGATATAATCTTAGCTTATGGAAAATGGCTTTTTTCAGCCATATCTAGGTCAGAAATACATGTCTTGTAGGCGGTACCCCAGGCTGTGATGCCGTATATTATATGGGGTTCAAGTAAAGCATGATACAGGATTCGCAGATAATTTTCTGTAAGAATGCTAGCAAGCATTTTGAGTTTATAGCATGTGAGTCTATAAATTAGTATTCCAAAATATTTTAAAGTGTTAACTCTATCGATTTTTGTTTTTTGGCCATGATAATTTGTTCGAAGGTAGGTAAAAATTTTGAATAGGGTGTCAATGCAATAAATTTAGTTTTTTTGAATTTAACTGTTTACTATCAAACCAGTCAACGATTTGCTTCTGTGTGCTCCAGTCATCAGCTTTATACAGGGTGGCGCATCGAAAACGAAACAGACGCATTTTCTGGCCGCTCAGTTTTTTTAGGAAAAACGCTCAGACCTTTCGATTTTGTTTTCGAGGGGGACACAAGTTTGGCAAAAAATCACTTTAACACGTCCAGCCCCCTGGGCGGGAGTGACACCAAGCCTAAAATCTTAAATGGAAAGGGGGGTCGAGTGATACCTTATTTTAAAGGTCTTCCAATTCCCTTTATAATGATGTAAAATACATGAGCTTCAGTTCAGGAGTTTTGAAGATTTATCGATTTAAGGCTTAAAGTAGACTTTAATAGGTACATCACATTAGTGTGTATCACTTTCAGAAGAAATTTGACTACAAGAATTTACTTAATAAGTAAATGCTTTTCTTCACTACGCCCATGGTTTGTTTATCATTTTGTTGTTGAAAATAGCTATTGGACCATTTTTTTGTGGCAAAAAAGTTATTTCTTGAAGAAAGATAAGGAAACATCTCGTACTTATTTTAAATAGGAATTTAGTACATAGTTTGCGATTGATTTGACCAAACTTTGTTGCTAAAATAACTTGTAAGGCTTTATTACATAAATTAACCATGGTATATTCCACAGCAGAAAGAGTTGAAATTATCGATCTATTTTTCGGAAATAATCAGTCCGTTAATAGAACAGCAGAAATATTTAATGAGCGACATGAGAACAGTAACGTGCATCGAAAATATGTTCTAGAACTTGTAGCTAAATTTCGGGAAACTGGATCAGTCGCCAATAAAAAACGCAACATTGAAAATCCCATAAGGAACGACGCAACAGAAGTGGGGGTTTTAGGGCAAGTTTATGTAGATCCTACGTTAAGTACCCGCAAATTGGAGACTGTATGTGGTGTTGGTCGACGTACTGTCCAACGGATTCTAAAGGCCCATAGTTTTCATCCGTATAAAATTCACCTGTTACAAAAACTTAATGAAGACGATTTTGATCGGCGATTACAATTTTGTGAAGATATGAGTGAACGAACTATAAACGATAAACATTTTCTATTCAACACTTGCTTTTCCGACGAATGTTCCTTTTTCTTAAATGGCGTAGTAAATCGTCATAACTGCAGATATTGGTCCGATTCTAATCCCAGAATTTATCATGAGGTTCATACACAGCAGCCACAAAAATTAAACGCTTAGGCTGGTATTTTTGGCGATTATTTAGTTGGTCCTTTTTTCCTGGAAATTTGACCGGTGAAATGTATTTGGGATTGCTGGAAGATGCCATAGATCCTGCATTAACAGCCATAATTGAAAATCAGAAGGATCGGCGGTACATTGCGAATAGGTTGATGTTCCAACAGGATGGTGCCCCACCACATTACGCATTACGTGTTCGACAATATTCAGATCGATGGATTGGTAGAAGAGGTGCCATTGAATGGCCCCCACGATCGCCAGATTTATCACCTTAGGATTTCTTTATGTGGGGTCATTTAAAAAGCAAAATCTATGCTACTCAGCCAACATCATTAGAAGACCTGCGACAAAGAATTGTGAATGAGTGCCTTCAAATTACTCGTGAAATATTGCAAAATGTGCGGAAATGTTTTGAGCAAAATCTTTATTATTGCATGGAGAGTCATGGTGGCCATTTTCAATATTTACTTGCCTAACGGGTCAGTTCATTCTTCATTTTTAAATTACTTTGCTGCCAAATGTATTGATCTCCACTAATGATGATTTATTAGTTTTATTTAAGCTTTAAATCCGTAAATCTTCAAAACTACTGAACTGAAGTACATTAATTTTATATCATTATAAAGGGAATTGAAAAACCTTTAAAATAAGGTATCACTCGACCCCCCTTTCCATTTAAGATTTTGGGCTTGGTGTCACCTCCGCTTGGGGGGCTGCACGTGCCAACGTGATTTTTTGCCTAACTTGTGTTTCCCTCGAAAACAAAGTCGACGGGTATGAGCGTTTTTCCAAAAAAAAAAAAACTGAGCTGCCAGTAAAAGCGTCTGTTTCGTTTTCGATGCGCCACCCTGTATACTATGAGAGTGTCATCTGCAAAACAGATAATCTTTCCAGTACTGTTAATTTAAATAGAGATTCAATAATAGTGGGCCTAGCACTGTTCCTTGAGGCTTACCACGCATGATGTGCATTTTTTTACTGCCAGTGTTAGAGATTTTAACAGTCTGTGCCCGACCTGAAAGGTAATTTTTTAAAAGGATTTGGGACGTTCTCCTTAATACCAATTTTTCCATAACTTTCAGAAGCTCGACATGGTTTATCGTATCAAAGTCATTCTTTAAGTCAACAAAGATACCAACAGTAGTTATTTTTTTGTCGAGATTAGAGTTAATTTCATCCATTGCATCCAAAATTTCGTCTGTAGTAGATTATTATATTATTTTATTTATTATTATATTTCATCATTTTGCATAGTTCCTCTTTTTTGTTGGCAGACTTTGTCAAACCTCTAGGTATCCAGGAATTCCTGCTTCTGTCAACATGTTTAATTCTAACTAGGTTAGTATGCTTACGCTTAATGATTCAGTTCGCTAGCAGGATCTCAATATAGTCTGTAGAGTATATCTCTGAGACGATGTCTCTGGTCTGCATGTGTATAAAATCAGTGCTATTTGCGATGTGAGAAAATTGATACTGAATATGCTGCCCATAAAGCACATCTATTAGCTTGTTATTTATGTATTACCCTTTTTGACGAAAAGTTATGTTCAAAGTTATAAATTACTTTTCCCTCACTTTTTGCGTTATCAAAAACTTTGAGGAGCATTGCGGGGAATTATCACCACCCGTGTGTGTAACTGAGCATGATACAAAAATTATTAATGATGCATCACTCACAAAACATTTTTGAGCTGAATTATATTTTTTATTGACATCACAACATACATTTCTATAAAATTTAAATAGCCAATTAAAGAATAATGTAAAACCCTATAACTTTTTCACGTTTGCATAATATGTAATTTCATTATGTCATAATTTCTCGAAAAACCGACGAAATGTCACAAAAAGCCGACATTTTTCGAGGTACGTAACAATCCTGCTGTACTAACCTTCAATCATCCTCGTGATCCTATCTTCACACTCTCCGTACATGCTCGCCCTATACTGAGCGCTGCGCCTGTGAAAGCCTTGCCCGAAGCCATCCTCTGACAGGTCAAAGTCGTCCGGAGGCTTGCTGCTCCTTCTGCCTCTCCGGTGAACGGCATCCTCAGCTACGGTTGATCTCCTGCAGGCCAGCGCCGAGGCTGCAGCAACGATGCTGACAATCAGTGTCACAGTCACAGCGGCTGCTGAGATTATTATGACTGTCAGGTTGCTGCTCCCTTGGGCGGAGGGACCATCTGCGAAGGGTTGCTCGTTGTTTGAATCTGAAACAGAAAAATATTTTTCAACAGAATCTATAAAGGATTTTTGCCAGGCCTTCTAAGAAAACAGCAAATCTCATTAGTCATTTTAATCTAGCAACTAACTTGGATTAAGTTGCCGTCGCTGAGCTCATTTAATGCCCGGAGGGGAGTGTTTTCGAATGTCGACTGGGCAATATTACAAGCGAGATACCTAAATTGTTACACGAAACTCATAAAGTGACTTCTTGAATCTCGTAATCGACATTTTTGATTCGACAAAATCTCACCAAGCTAAGATCATGCAACAAGAATGACGCAATCAGAATTTTTTCACCGTTTGACGAAACGGCATTTATAACAAAGTAATAGTATGAATTGCTTGAAGCTACTTATTTTTTTCGTTATTGACCACCTTTTTTTAACGCCAATCTTAAAATGAAATAACAAAAGTGACTACACGGTGACAAAGTGACAAACGATGACAAAAATACAATTCGACTGGCGCATGAGAGAATATGTGGCATGCAAGATTAAAAAAAAGCCACCCCTTGAATGGATTACCACGGTCGCATGTCCCTTTTTTCCACTGCCTTTTTGAGGTAGTATTCTAAATCCGTTTCATATTATTTCACGGTCTGAACAGGGGTGACTAAAAAAATCATGTTATCTTTTTTTTTGTCATAAAATATTTTTTTTGCATTTTTTCTTCAATCGTAACTTGTTAACAAATATTAGTACAGATCTGATATTGTATATCAAAATTCCACTGTTATAGTAGAATTGAGCTGGCGATTACTTTATTCTTATCGGTTTTTCTCTTCAACAAAAAACCCCATTTTGCAGCAAATTGGGTTTTCAAGAAGACAAGTAATCACCCGCCATAAAAATGGAATATTCACATATAATAAAAATTCACAAAACATATATTTTTTGACAAAAAATAAACAGATAATGTCATCTCTGAACACCATAAAACAATCAGCGAAATGTATTAAGAACATTCCTCCAGGCAGGCTGTTGAAACAAAAGAAAAATGGGACGTTAAATGTAAATAACCAATAATAATAACACAGGGCAAAATTTGAATCAAAACCCATGGCTGGACTCCATAGATGTATTTAGGGACTTTTGGGGTCTGCCCAATAAATTTGAAAAAGATGAATTAATTTGACCTTGAAGTAACGTCTCGAACCCAGAAGCCGACATATCAGACAGATTCGAACACAGGTGGAGCTTGGAATAACCTCAGTTTGACCTGGAAATAATCTCTGGGTAGCAGCGCCTGCTAAAACATATTCAGAATTGGCAACCCCGAAAACGTATGTGTGGAAAAGTTTACAAATGGATTCATATACTCAAAATCAATAGAATTGGCAACCGCATGAACAGACAAAAAGATCGCCTCTAATCTGTGCGAGTTGCCTCATCTGATCTTAGACTACCTTGGATCTTCCCAGTGAAATAGAAAATCTATTTGGCTTCCCACTAATCTCCTCCCACTGGGATATAAAATCTCGAATCTCCTGAATTATCTCCTCGAATTGCATCAACACCTCGGTTTTCCTTACATACCATGGATCTTCCTGCGATAGAGAATCTTTTCCGTAGCAATGGCCTTGTCGGTACTCATGCTTAAATGAATCTCCAGAGTTTCAACGCACATATAGCTTTTCGCAAGCATTTGAAGTCCTGGGCACACGAAGCCTTCACAGTGACACAGAAACGCACACAGATTTCATCGTGGTCGTTGCAGAATCTAAATATGCCGGGCAGTACCTCCATGCTCGTGGGTCTACCACCTACAGACAATCACAGCGTCCATAGCCATGAGAAAAATTATCTTGGGTCGGGATTCAGTCCCACGTGTTTCATAAGTAGAGACTACTACAAAGCTCTCTTTGATCTGTTTCATCCTTGGTTGTCTCTGTCACTATGCCATAGATTTCCTGCCCGTCCATTCCTTACACTATCTAATAACATATGTAACTCACAATAGAGATCGTGGTCCAATAAGTTTTAGAAGTACATTTTTCTTTTCCTTTTCTTACCCGATTTGTTTGAAGGTCCTACAAAGTTGCATACCAAATTCGAGATGACCTCAAAGGAACAAGATGGTTGCTAAACTACCAATATATGTACTTTGTTTTCGGATCTCTCCGTAAGTCTAGGCCCCAGTTTCTTACAGGAAGGTAAAGAAAAGGCTGTGACAATTTTCACAAGACCCCGACAAAGATCAATTTTATTTTGTACTTAACTAGACAGTGTCGTTTCTTTGTTTTTATAGTGAAACTCGTATATTCTATCGTCAAGCGATGTTTTAGAAATGACATATGTGAGGCAAATGATGCACTTTTGAACCAACAAGCATTTACAAAATACTCATATTTATTGAAACGTTTATTAATACGCACGGGCTTTCTGAAAGTTAAATACTGGCAGTGTATAATATGTGGAATGGTTTCTATTATTTTTATTTTTAATATTCATGCTATCCATGTGATGTTACCGTACATTGTTGTCCATTGTGGCATGGATTTTTTATGTCTGTATTCATATATTCTGGAAAAAACCACTACCAGCTACTTTTGTAACAAAAATATTGCGTGTAGTTTTGAATAACCATTGCTTTTACCACTGACAGTGAGTAATACTGGTATACAAGCAAAAAGCGACTGCGGCATTGCTTAAAAAGTATAGAATACTTGGGTTAGACATCTTAATAGTTAAAATAGCTTGAATGTTGAGTAATTCTGGTGATTGGAAAGCGCGTGGCCAGCTCGGACAAAAAAATCCAATTTTATGCGGGAGATTTGACAGATAACTGTTTACTTCCTGGCTGTTTTGTAGGAAACATATACAGGGTGGCGCATCGAAACAGACGGATTTACTGTCAGCTCAGTTTTTTTTTTAAAAACGCTCAGACCCGTCGATTTTGTTTTCCAGGGGCACACAAGTTTGGCAAAAAATCACGTTAGCACGTGCAGCCCCCTAAGCGGGGGTGACACCACCCCCAAAATCTTAAATGGAAAGTGGGGTCGAGTGATACCTTATTTTAAAGGTCTTTCAATTCCTTTTATAATGATATAAAATTAATGTACTTCAGTTCAGTAGTTTTGAAGATTTATTGATTTAAAGCTTAAATAAAACTAATACATCATCATTAGTTGAGATCAATACATTTCGCAGCAAAGTAATTTAAAAATGAACAATGAACTGACCCGTTAGGCAAGTAAATATTGAAAATGGCCACCATGACTCTCCATGCAATAAAGATTTTGCTCAAAACGTTGCTGCACATTTTGCAATATTTGAGGAGTAATTTGAAGGCGCTCATTCACAATTCTTTTTTGCAGGTCTTCTAATGATGTTGGCTGAGTAGCATCGATTTTGCTTTTTAAATGACCCCACATAAAGAAATCCAAAGGTGATAAATCTGATGATCGTGGGGGCCATTCAATGGCACGTCTTCTACCAATCCATCTATCTGGAAACGTCTGATCTAAATATTGTCGAACACGTAATGCGTAATGTTGTGGGGCACCATCCTGTTGGAACATCTACCTATTCGCAATGTACCGCCGATCATTCTGATTTTCAATTATGGCTGTTAATGCAGGATCTATGGCGTCTTCCAGTAATTCCAAATACATTTCACCGATCAAATTTCCAGGTAAGAAAAAGGACCCACTAAATGATCGCCAAAAATACCAGCCCAAACATTTAATTTTTGTGGTTGCTGCGTATGAACCTCATGATAAATTCTGGGATTAGAATCGGACCAATATCGGCAGTTATGACGATTTACTACGTCATTTAAGAAAAAGGAACATTCGTCGGAAAAGCAAGTGTTGAATATAAAATGTTCATCGTTTATAATTCGTCTTCATTAAGTTCTTGTACCAGGTGAATTTTATACGAATGAAAACTATGGGAGTTTAGAATGCGTTGGACAGTACGTCGACTAATACCACACACAGTCTCCAATTTACGGGTACTTAACCTATTGTTTCGTTCCTTATGGGATTTTCAATGTTGCGTTTTTTATTGGCGACTGAACCAGTTTCCAAAAATTTAGCTACAAGTTCTAGAACATATTTTCGATGCAGGTTACTGTTCTCAGGTCGCTCGTTAAATATTTCAGCTGTTCTATTAGCGCACTGATTATTTCCGAAAAATATTTCGATAATTTCAACTCTTTCTGCTGTGGAATATACCATGGTTAATTTATGTAATAAAGCATTAGAAGTTATTTTAGCAACAAAGTTTGGTCAAATCAATCGCAAACTAAGTACTAAATTCCTATTCAAAATAGGTACGAGAAATTTCCTTATTTTTCTTCAAGAAACAACTTTTTTGCCACAAAAAAACGCTCTAATAGCTATTTTCAACGACAAAATGACACACAAACCATAGGCGTATTGAAGAAAAGTATTTACTTATTAATTAAATTCTTTTAGTCAAATTTCTTCTGAAAGTAGTACAAACTAATCTGATGTACCTATTAAAATCTACTTTAAGCTTTAAATCAATAAACCTTCAAAACTACTGAACTGAAGTTCATGTATTTTACATCATTATAAAGGAAAAAGACCTTTAAAATAAGGTATCACTCGACCCCCCTTTCCATTCAAGATTTGGTGTCACCCCCGCCCAGGGGGCTGCACGTGTTAACGTGATTTTTTGCCAAACTTGTGTCCCCCTCAAAAACAAACTCGACGGGTCTGAGCGTTTTTCCACAAAAAAAACTGAGCTGCCAGTAAATGCGTCTGTTTCGTTTTCGATGCGCCACCCTGTATGAACCTTGACAGTCCCTATATTCCCCAGTGACATAAGTTATATGCGTAAAGCGTATGCCTGTATCCAAATCAAGCTGTTGTTATAGTACCTGTAAAAATTTAAAGTGTAGTATTTGGTTTTAGAATAATGCATAATTTGCTAGTATTTCAATTTCAGAAATACACTTCTGCTTCATCATTTGTTGCAATTAGAGGACACATATTATTTTAAATAGGGTAAAATCA